ATGTGGGGTTCTTATTCGGAAAGTTCGGACCCCAAGACCAGCAAATCTGATACCAAGGACTCAATAATATTTGAGGGGTATGCTTACTTCAGGTAAAGGATACAAAGAGAAAAGAAAGGATATCATTTGCCCTGTTTTATACAAGTTCAAGCTTTTTCTACACGCAGGGCAGCGAACAGAACGTGTTCAGAAACTCATGTCAGAAGTGTTTTCTGCGAAACGATTCTGTTTCATACTGGGGACTTCTCCGGTGAAGTGCACTACTGTCCGTTTACGCCGGGCAAATGAGATGACACGAAACTAGACGCTTTTTATATGAATGTTCGTGTTTAAGTCTGTAGGCTTAGGGCTAAGAAACACATTTAACACGCTGGTCTTTGGATGAGATAAAGAATTTGTCATTTTCGTCAGGATTTGCCTTCTCGCATAAAAATGCCCATATCAAGGTTTTGACAGTGCTCAATTTCATATTCAAAAGCGTTGATTCTTGAGATTAAGTAATATTAAATATTATTATTATTGTCGCTGATTAAAGTTAATGTCTGTAACTGGCTGCTTTGCTGTTGTCAAGCACTTAATAAGTTTTCTTATTAATTTTTTTAGTCTCCTGGAGTGGGGTGAGACTGAGTCCACTTGGTACGTCGGCCACTAATTGGTCTATTGTACCAGCCCCGGACGAGAGATGATGACGAATGTGGAGCACTCGGTGAAATGAGAATTGGCAGGGGAAACCGAAGTACTCGAAGAAAATCTGCCCCAGTGCCCAGTGCTCGAACTCGGGCCGCCGCGGTTGGAAGCAGGCGACTAGCGGCCTGAGTTATGGCACGGCCTTCTTATTATTATTCTTTCCCATTTCAGAATTAATCTAAAAGCTACAAATCTTACAAACCGTTGGTAGGACCCCGTGAATAGGGGATCGGCTCGTACCAAAACCGCTATCTACACAGGGAAAACATAAACAGGAAAAACGCTAAATATAATAAGGAAAAACGCGGACATCGATGTCTTGAGTGGGATTCGAATTCACGATCCCCGTGTTCGAGCGAGCAAAGACATTTCGCGTCTCAAACCGTACAGCTACTGTGATCGGCCTAACTAGTCTCAATATGCCTACGGCTCATATTACAATTTAAATGAGCAGTATAATCAACAGGTAGTTATGTAGGATTTGAGGTTCTCTGAGGGGTGGTTATGAAGTGTTCCATCTCATGGGATACAACTTGGGACAAGGAAACATTAAAACAATCGGTAGATACGAACAGCACTGCTGACGTGCAGTTGACAGCAGTTAAGACTCTGTACGTTTCATGTTGCTGAGCTCCACAAGGCCATCTATCCGTCCTTGCTGCTTGCACAAACACGATTCTGTTGCTAACACCGGGGACGGCCTCTCATTGCTATACCTAGGTACAGCAATCTTAACTACTATAGTCTGTTCGCAGCTATGGGGAGCAACAAGGTCACGAGGCAATGCTACCGTAACACCGACAATATTTAATAACCGGATCAGATAGTATGAGCTGGAATTTTAAAAGGGGACACAGGTGTCGGGCCTGTTCATTTTTCCCAGAAATGTTTCCCAAGCTCTGACAGTTCTGTCTTATCAAACACGCCCTTCTTTCGGACTCTTGTACATGTTTATACACTTCCTTGAGGATCCCTCTGCACTGAAGAAATAAGCATGCATTCTCACTCGCAGATAAAGTGAAAATAACCTTACAGTACAGAATGTAACATATATATATGTACGCATTACGTAATCCCTTACCTTCTTGCGGTGCAACCTTTTATCACAAACGGGGCTCTGGAAACCGGGTTATGGCCGTTAAGTGTAGGAGGGATGCAGCTATATGTGTATGTATATATCAGAGAGATATCACCGGGGAAGATTCTGATATATCGAAACCTGATAGCAACGGCGAAATGAACGATTGAGAAGCCTAGTGTTTTTAAATTTTAAACTACGTGCAGTGTAGCAGCTACGTCAGAGTATACACCTGATGAGGGCCATTTACAGCCGAAACCAGTAGTGTAGAAGAAAGCAAGACGAAAGAACTACAATAAATTAAGACGGAGTTTATGTCATATATTCAGTTTTCTAGCTTTCGTCTCAAATTATTTAATGCATTTACAGTTGCAAATAAGAATTTCAGTTAAGTCGACTCTGAATCCGGTAACCAACCGAGGATCTGAATGTGAGATGTCATTTCAATTTGGACTAAAGGACGGACGACTGCAAAACGTCTCCTGCAGACACGTAATTGTCAAGTACGACTATTTACCTTTCAGATATATAAATTAAAACTCCTTGATTGGTCACGTTATAGCCGAGATAGCGTAGTCGGTATAGCGACTGGCTACTGGCTGGACGATCGTGGGTTCGGAGTTCGAGTCCCGGTAGGGTCAGGAATTTTCTCTTGTCCTCAGCGTCCAGACCGGTTCGGGGCCCACCCAGCCTCGTATCCAATGGGTAAAGGGGGCTCTTTCCCCGGGGGTAAAGCGGCCGAGGCATGAAGCTAACCACTCACCTCCAACTAGTGCCGAGGTCAAGAAAACGAGGATCTATAGATCCACTCCCCCATACGCCTTAATGGCGTAGTGCTTAATTAGTTGAGCACAGGGACAACTTTACCTTATAGGAAGCAACAACCTGCAATAAATTATGGGGTCGTGTTACAGACATCAGTTTGAGAATTGGCTTCCATCAGTACCACAGAGCATGACAGCGTCTGCAACATTTGGACATGCACAGTAACTACAGCCGAGGGAAAGTTTTACTGAATAAATTATCTGCACAACCAGTACATCATTTACGGTTACAATGACCAGCATTGCACGGCTGCTGCTAACGAAACGATTTTCAATTCGCGCTACCTCAAAACCACCTGCAAAATGCGGAATGGCACTGGAACTGTGTGTGTTGTATCTCTCGGCGCGAATCAATGTACGCCCTTGACTTGAATACTACTTCCTGCTTCAGATCTGGGAAACATTGGCCGGTCAGTACGATCGCTGGAAAGTCGTCCTCTGAGCCTACAGCATGGGTAGACACTTCAAACTGTCGCTTTTTCTTATTCTGCTATTTGATAAAGCTCAGTTTTGTTGAGACTACGAGCGTCGAATTAGAATTGAAAAATGCGTCAAAATTACACATCTCGTACTGTAACGTGTATGTATAGAAGTTGGATCATCTGCTGATGTGTCTCTCCTTTTCTTGTGTGTTTTAAAAGCATAGTCAATTAAGGTTATAACACGTGGACTCATTTCCCAATTCCTGAAAACAAAATTGGGTCAAATTGCCTAATATAAGTGGCCTTGACCATAATTCATAAAAGAACTGATTAATGTGCGTATATATCAATTTGCGACCGCCTCTGTGGTCTAGTGATCAGAGTTCCTGGCTACAGATCCAGAGGTTCCGGGTTCGATTCCCGGAGTTACCAGATGTTCTGAGAAGTAGTGGGTCTGGAACGGGGTCCACTCAGCCTCGTGAGGATAATTGAGGAGCTATTTCAAGGAAATAGCGGCTCCGGTCTAGAAAACCAAGATTAACGGCCGTGGGGATCCGCTGCGCTGACCACGCGACACCCTCTATCCGCAATTGGCACTTACATGGCCGACAAACGGCGGTCGCTCGGTCGGTAGAGTTCGCTCGCGAACTAAAACCACGGAGTTTGTTTTGTTTTTGTCTTTGTAAGTACTTCCACGATCATCTTTGTGATGCCGTGGCCCATAGACAACTGTATGAGTCGTATAATTCCACAAGGTTTAAAGTGTCGGCTCCTGAAACACTGCATTATACGAGTATTTCTCAGGGCACTGAACACTACTGCGACGTCTCACTCGCTTGCTGCATGCGAGCTACTAACAAAAAATGCAGGTTACTTACTGCAATGATAAGAAGAGTTACGAACTCGAATTATGGTTACTACAGTTCAAGTAAATTGTAGTTTAACACAATTCGTATTTTTCCTCCCAGGAAAAACCAAACGCGAGCTGAAATCAATGTAATCTGGCCATCTGACTGTTTGGAATATTGGCTTTCCGATGGGAATTTAGAATTTAAGCTACCTGCGACGAAGTGGGCCGAACATCTTTTACTACAATAAGGTTGGACTGCTCAATAAATAGATCTTCATACGAACAGCCGTTAGTACTGTATTAATATTTCAATGTGTCAAGTTATCACTCCTATCTTGAAAATGTTAACTTATCTTGCTTATTTACAGTTAACACCAATGGCGTACATTTACATAAGGCATACAGAACAAAGGAAAACAAGAAATATATTAAAATTTTGCAGGATTTGATGTTCTCACAGCGGTTGTTATGAAGAGCACTGACATCTGGGATATAACACCGCGTAGTCTGCTGAACGTCAACCGACGTTTCGGAGGAAAATGTCGCCTCTATTTTCAAGGTCGACCCAGAAGATGGGGCAATATATATTCCTCCGAAATGCCAGTTGACTTTCAACTAACTATACGGCGTTACATCGCACAAGATAGTAATATTTATTCAAATTTTGTTTCGATTACCCCAGGGGAAAGGACCGCTTTGTAATATGTGTAGATGGGAGGATAATATTTTAACGGAATTGATCAACGCATTGCCAGGAAACGGAATATCTACAGAGATAGGGATTAGCTGTATCGATTGGGCCCAACTGAGTAGCTTCTACCTGAGAACGGAGACAGAATCCAGTCTCCGAAACGTTGTGTTCTGATAGATAAAAAGGACGGTTTTTATATAAAGACAAGACGATGGATAATGCCCAGAAACATAATATTTGTAGTAATGTACCATCGTCACGTACTTTTAAATCTTGTGAACTGAGCTTGACTGCTATATTTTTTCTTTTACTGAAATTTCGTATGTAAACCGGTTACAAGTAAGCTTGGTAAACTGCAAAAAGAGAGTTGCTAGGATTTTTATTTGCTATATTATGGCGTACACCTTCCCAATCTTGTTTACTAAATGTTGCACTTTCTGGTACTCACCGAGAATAAGGTGTAGTTTGGCGTCAGTCTGGAAAGCGTAGTGGAGGGTGACGAGAAAAGGTGACTGGCGTACTGCCTCCAACACCTGACGCTCAGTTTTTGTGTGTTCGGTGGTCTTCTTCTTCTGAATAATACTAGCTTTGGTTAACACCTTCATGGCGTAGAGACGCCCGTGATCAACGCCACCCCTCTTCCGCACCAGGAACACTTTTCCATACGCTGAAAACAAACGAACACAATCACAGTTACCTCACACACCCACGAAATCTATGACTTGTACATGGAATGTTCTAAAATTCTAGTTTATTCACTTCAGTCTACATGTTTAGCCAGCCCTTACAGATACCTTCTCGAGTTCGTGTAGCAACATTTCTAACAGATGTGGCCTGTTATTCTGAAACACACGGGGATATTTTCAGCGGTTGTTCATTCATGCTTAAACATTACCAAACTACTGCTACAACGTTGTTAAAATAGTTCACATACTAGCCTTAATCTTATAAACCAGGCATGTCCGACTTCAAACAGATTGTGATCGACTTTTTAGTGACAAAACTGCCAGTGATCTGCCACCCCCTCCTATCGTCGTACCTCGCTTTAAGCAAAAGTATTGGTAAAAATAACACGACACATGACGTTTGTTGTAAAAGCAAGATACATTGAAAGTACAGACTTACCGTGTTCGCTAAGAACAGAAAAATAGTTTTTTTACTGTCTTTATTATTTGACTTCTGTATTACGTAGATACGTACCATTTCCATAAGTCAATAAAATATGTCCATAATTAATTATTTTTGGTTATTCTAAACACGCAAGAATTCATAATACAAGAACAGCGTCACAAGCCAAAACAGGGTCATAAATATGAGCCTCCGAGAGTTGTGATGTCCCATGAGTGAACTCGTACCACTAGTCCTTCTTCTGTGACGTGTACTTAGTTCGTCAAACCTATTATATACTACGGGACTGCGTTTGGTATATTTAATGCTAATAATAATTTTATATTATTAAAATACCTTTAAATAACAGAGGTAAATTCTGACTTGTGTTATTTTCTCGTGGGCTCCATCAAGTATGGGAACAAGGTTGGTATCTTCACTCAATGATGGGGACTGATGCGTCGTCATCAAAAAGTCAGTGAATTCTATTTTCATCATTATCCGTTACTGTTGCGCCGGCAGGAAACTCAAACGTATTTATACAGGGTTGTCTACAAAACGTACGGCGCACTCTGGGTCGAAAAGTAGATTAAATTTACGTAATGCCACTCCATTTTTATCTAATAAATTCCGTGCTTTATTCTGTAACTTCAGGTTTGATTAACTACTGTTTATCTTATCATTGCATTAAAGTACTTTTGGCTTCACGCCCTACTTCAGTTGCTGTTGCAGCTGTATTTCTGTTGTCATGCTGTTATGAGTGTATTCATGTTGCTATGGTTATACTTAACCATATATCATGTTTGTTTTGGTGCTTAACAAGAGAGTTCGTGATTTTTACAATTCATCTAATTATTCTTGGGTAATAACATGTACCGGCCCGGTCACAGTAGCCGCGCGGTCTAAGGCATGAACTGTCTTCACCCGCTGGACGCTGGGATCGTAGGTTCGAATCCCAATCAGGGCATGGATGTTTGGTGTGTGTGTGTTTATTCTGTGTTTGTGTTGCCCTGTGTTTAGGTAGAGGCCTTGCGATGGGCTGATCACTCGTCCAAGGAGTCCTACCGTCTGTGAAAAATGATTACGGAACTGAATAAGAGGCCTGGGCCCTGAATGGGCTGGAAGACCCATTGAAAAAAAAAAAAAGCAACATGTAGGAAGTGACGAACGAGTGCGGTGAGATCCGTACAGGATATTTCTGGGAACATCAAGATTGAGATACGAAGATAATATTAAAACTGACATTAGAGAAGTAGGCTGTGAGGGTTAGAAGTGAATGGCACAAGATAAGGACCGTGTTCAATGACGAAATTTGTATTAGCGGCGTTCAACATTCAGCAGTATGCATCACATACAGCGGAACTGAAAACGAAAGTCTCAACGAGTGATTGTTTCCCGTAATCAACTCAGTCACAACACATTTAAAACCAGGCTAATATTACCTCCGTGGTGAACAGCTCTTCTTTAGAAGCTTACATGGTGCACCTACTCAAGAAATTCAGCCTCTCCCCTTTATGAAACCTAAGGATTCATTTCGTGATCACAAGAGTCCGCCACTGAATCAGAAGAATCCTATGACCGTTCATACTCTGAATGGGAAAGCAACACCGGCGCCCGAAAATTGCGTTATTTTAACTATATTTGTCATAATTTGTAAAAGGATTGGTCCTATCCCAGTCTTGTAACTTGAACTGCTATTTTTCAATGCCCCCCCCCATGAGATAGCTAAGGGAAATGGGGGCGAAGTAAGCGCATGCTTGAAGGCCGCGCCATAGCTCAAGCGGTTAGTCGCTGGCTTCCCACCGTGGCGTCCCAGGTTCGATCCCGGGTCTTGTCAAGTGGGATTTGTGGTGGACAAAGTGGCGGTGGGGCAGGTTTTCTCAGAGTACTTCGGTTTCCCTGCCAATCTTCATTCCACAAATTGCTCCACAATCACCCTCACCTATCATCTGGGGCTGGTACAATAGGCCAGAAGTGGCCGCAGTGCAAGGGACTTGGTCCCACCCCAGTAGCAAACCTCTTAAGCGCATGCTTGTGCTCTATATGAGTAGATACGCGTCCATCCAATTCTCTGGATGCTGCCAAATTATAAGTGCAGCGTTCCAAATTACTGTTACTGTTTAATCTAACAGACTGCGGAAAGTACGGAGTCATTCTCTCGCTAGGAAACCCGACCATGCCTCGATAACCTCTTCACTCACCTATGAAAACTGACATGTTCTTATATCTTGCACCCTGCGATCACACATCTTCCGGCTCCTGCGTGTCGAGTCAAAACACTTCCGGTTGTCTTTAATTTTATCACCAATTTGTGAATGTAGGATTTTGTCGGTACACTTCCTTCACATTTTTAATCCTATATGCCCTCCGACATTGTTTAAATGAAGCCGTTCGGCAGTATTTACGAAAAATAAACATACGCTGTTTAGTTGAATGCATGTTTGCGGCACACGCAATCGCTCTGCACTGTCAAACGCCTGTTTGGCGGTCACCTCTCAACATCACGAGTACAGTCTACTTCGTTGAGGGGTGTGATTGTTCTGCTTTAATAGATGTAAGCTTCGTCATGTCAATTTTCATGGAGAACCATACAAAAATGAAAATGTATATTTGGGTTTCCTAACTAGAGAATCACACTGTTATAGCGGTGTTATGAAAAGTGAAGAATTTACAATTTTTCTATAGTGTTGCAAACGTATGAACTGACTACTCATCTGTGTCAAATAAATATGCACTTCAACTGAAATATTTGCTAGCCTTCCTGCCTCTTAGCGACTTCCCCACCCCGTTAAATATGACCATGAGAAGAAATCCACGTATCCGCCATCATTAGAATTCAGAGTTAGGACAACGTATCACGGACTTCCTCGCGCACCAAGGTAACTCCAGGGCCAACCACAGTCCTACCCGTCACGTTCAGCACAACGCAGTGTGCCAGGTATAATCCAATCAACAGTTTCACGTCCCGCTCCTTTAACATTCGTTTTAATATTATCCTCTCACCTATATCGGGGGCACGCGGTAGCGTAATTGGTTGAGGCACTATGCTACAAGCCGGAAAGTCGTGGGGTTCGAGTCCCGATGAGGTGGATTCTTTTTTAATGTACCTAATTCCTCCAGCCGCAGACTGGACTCAGACTCCGTAGACTCAGCCTCTAACAGAAACTAATACCAGGAATCGTCCTTTGGGGTAAAGGGCGGCCGGCGCGTAAGGCTGACCTTACCGCCATCTGTGTACCGATTGTCTAGAAAATGTGAGACCCTCAACGTCTCAGACCCTGTGGGCCTCCATGTCCTGTTACAAGGACAGCTTTATCTACCTTTTTTTTACCTCCCACCTACGCAGACCTCTCTCCGAAATGAGCTCTTCCTTTCAGACCTTTTGATTAAAATTTTCTACGAATGTCTTATCTCTCCAATACGTGCTACATGTCCCTCCCACCACGTTCTCCTAAACTGAAATACTTTCTGCCCATCCAACATACCACAATGATTATATTGCAGGAATGAAAGTTTTAAATTAATGTTGAAACTACTGGCACATTGAAGAAAGCAGTCTTCTGGGGTTTGGCACCGTGTATATGTGGTGTTAACCGACGTTTCGGAGGAACGTATCGCCTCCATCTTCAGGGTAGAAGAAAAAATATAAGAAATCTGCTGTCTGCAGTCTGCTTTTACCGGTTCTCACGGTCTCTTCGCTTGCAGATTTCTTATATTTTTTCTTCTACCCTGAAGATGGAGGCGATACGTTCCTCCGAAACGTCGGTTAACACCACATATACACGGTGCCAAACCCCAGAAGACTGCTTTCTTCAATGTGCCAGTAGTTNACCGCCGTGAAAGCCTCAAATCTTACATACTGGCACATTCTTTCTAAGGTCATCAGGTCAGTATTCACTGGAGATTATTCTGAGATATTAAACGGGTTTTCTAGCCTAAGCTAGGATACTGTACTGAAATAGGCCGTGACTTTACTTCTGATTATTTCGCGATTCACCACCAAAGTCCATCATAATACTGTCCTTTCGCCGTTATATTAATAGCTGATGGAACGCCTAGCTTCATTTCTGCATTTACAGCTACAAGATGACTCAATTTTACCGACAATCTCGTCTCCTCTGAACTTCGTCCTGTGTTTCGATACTAAGTGCTCAAGTACAAATTCCTACATTACAAACGCCATTAATGCTCGGAATGAGACAGGAACTGCAATGCCATGTGCTGTGGCCGTACTAAGGCACTAGTGGAAGACAATAAGCACGATCCGTGTACAGTTAACGACCGTTAGATTGGTAGCCCGCCTCGTTACGAGAGGTGAATGCCCACGTCTCGGATACCCGCATCAACACACACTCCTTTCCACTTTCGAAAACTGTACTTTTACTGAACGCTTTATGGGATTGTGAAAGTAATTGGCATGGCGTTGGGATCAGAAGAAGCGGTCGTGGTCTTTCAGACTTCAGGGAGGTAAACAAAGCCAGTACAACTATACCTGCTTAAGTGTCACTCCATAACTGCACACACAAGTCGTGAATCTAAGCGTTACGCATTTTCGTTCTT